GCCGCCTTCACAGGTTTGGCTTGCTCCAGCGCCACCCTACCGCCCCTTCTGTTCCTTTGCCCCCACACCACCCCTTTTCGTTCTACCGCCCCCTCTGAAAAATGAAATCCCCCCCGAGGGGCATTATTGCCCACGTTAAGAACCACTGGTTTACAGGGACTTAAGAGACACTCCAAGGCTCAAAGGCCTCTCTCTTACCAGGTAGCGTATGCATATCCAGAGAATGAAGATTAAGATCAGGCGCTCGATCCAGTCAGTTTCCATCATGCTGACGAACAGTCAGAAATGAAACTGCCTTATTAATACTGGCCAAGCCTGAGCATCTCATTTGGGCATCACTCCCACATCACAAAGGGCTTTTTGACAAGCCCTTTGGCAGCCCAGCTCAATTTGGTCCCCAGGGCAACCCACTGTGATGGCCTCACCCACAAATGCCAAACAGAGATTTCATCACTCTCTAAGGAGGGTCCCACACAACGCTTTTCCAATGTGGGATGTTCTCTTCTGCTGAGTCTCAAACAGTGCAATGTGACACAAGACTCTATCTGGAAGGAATTCTACAGAGTCAGGCCTTTGGTTCAGCCTTGTTCTCACATCATTATCATTAGATTCCAGCATGTTACACAATTATTCCATTACAGCAGTGGTTCTTAACCTTGGGTTACTCAGGTGTTTTCGGACTGCAACTCCCAGAAGCCTTTACTACCATCTGTGCTGGCTGGGGTTTCTGGGAGTTGCAGTTTAAAAACACCTAAGTAACCCAAGGTTAAGAACCACTGCATTACAGTTCTTATCCCACTTTTTGGCCATAAGGTTGTGTTCAAGGTAACTTAAAATTATATGCCATCAAGTCAGTTCTGACTTCATAGTGACCTTTCATAGGCTGCCAAGGTATGAAGCAGCCAGAAATAGTATACTAGTCCCTCACAGCACAGCTTGACCAAGGCCACTCAGGTGGCAGGGCACATCAGCCCATCAGTACTACCTTGAACATGCCAAGAAAGCTACAGATACTTGGTGCATATATTTCTAATCTGTTATATGCTGACAAGTTGCTCTCATCTCATGTTGACCCCAATAGAGTTTGGGGTATCTCACCTCCTTAAGGTGTATTTTACCATAGTCACTTTCCCACCAGTGACTTTCCTTAAGTAAACAGGAATTTGTACCCAGGTCTTCTGAGTCATCATTTGCTATCCATTATACCATACTGGCTCTCTGGTCTTTCAATACACAGATGATCCATTCTTGCTATCCCATACCATTCAGCAACGTAGCTACTGCATTTTGCACCAATTGACTGTCTTCAAAGGTAGCATCATGTTGGGCTTCTGGGATAAATGGGAGATAAACTCTTCAATGGTAGCTCCCTTCAGTCTCTTAATCAAGTCCTGTGTCATGAAATTAAGGTACAAAGGAATATAGGGGTTTTGTCCTTTTAAGAGGCATGTATTCATATTTCCTTACTATTACCTTAAGGGAATCCAGGCTGCCCTTTGCAAAAATGGCAGCTGCAGCTTCTCTTAGGCAGGGAAGCTGCAGCCACTATTTTTGCAAAGGGCAGCTCGGACTCCCTTAAGACAGGCCATCGTTGCAAAGGCCATTGTGGCTGTGTAGGCTATTGTAGTGCAGGCCAGCTGCCACAGATGGTGGTGACGGTGTCATAGACTGCAGAAGACAAGGTTGGGAGGTGACGGGTAGTGGGAAGGGGGGCAGGCTAGGGGATGGGGGGATCAGGCTTTTTTTAAAAAAAAACCTGATGAACCGTCAAACCAATTTGTAGTTCGTCGGCTCATGGTGAAAAGATTCGTGGTTCGTAGTTCAGACAAACCACCCATCTCTAATTAAGACTCATAAGACCAACAGTAAAAAACACAAGTAAAGCAGAATACAATGTTCCCTTTAAAAATTCCCTTTTGTCAACCAGTCATTTAATGGAAAGCCTGAACTGAAAGGTCTTTTGTCTCCTTCTGGAAGGATAGCAAAGATGGGGCCAGCCTAGCCTCCAGTTGGAGGGAGTTCCAGAATCTAGGAGCAGCAACAGAGAAGACCTTCTCTCACGTCCACACCAAATGCACCTGTGAAAGTGGTGGGACTGAGAGAAAGGCCTCTCCCGATGATCTTAATACCCAGGTCTACCCACAAAGGGAAGTACAATATTTTTCATAGTTTAGACCCAAGCTATTTACATATTAGTGATATCTTTATCTTTTGTCCTCCAAGCAGAAGATGAAGTGAGGAATTTGTGAGTGGCCGCACCACTCCCTCCATGATGAAACTGTACTTGTAGAACTTCACTTTTATTGTACCCACACAAAGAGGATCACAATGTCGCAACAATTCTTGCATCCCCAGGCCTGTCTTAGCCGGTGAGTCAGGAAGTTGTGGTTCCTTTTTTGGCCCAGGACCTCTGGGCTGACCAAACACAAAATCTCTATCAGAATCCCACCTCCCGTGGGGTACTTCAATTCTGAGATAACTCAGCCCCATCCAAAGGAGGAAACTCAAGAAGTTCCTGTGAATTCAGGCTCCCTGCCTGGGCGGCCGATAGTCCAGTCCCTGCTTCCAGACTGGCTCCTGGCCAGAGCTGCTGGTCACAGTTCCAGCTACTGTATATGCTAGTCCCCCAGGAGGTACTTCTTCACTCTTTTGGCAGCATGGCTTGCAGAGAATGTCTATTCAGTAAAATTGCCCAAGCCCCAACAGGGAGAAGTCTCTTCCCATATCCCTGCTTCTCCCTCTAGCCCTCGGCCTCTGCAAGAGCAAAGAGCTAGGCCGCAGGGCTGGGTCCCCATAACTGGAGTTCTGACAGCAGCAGCTGCCTAAGTCGGCCAGGCTTGGCGTCAGAAACAAGCAGAGGGTGATTGAAGACAAGGTGGGAGGACATTAATTGTCCGTTTAGGGGTTGGGAGTTTCCTTAAACTTGCAACCAAACTGCCTCCCAGCCCTCACTTCCTGGTCTCACTCTGACAAGCTTTTGTAGGACAAGGCAACACCCCTCTGTGACTTTGTCCCTGGTCTCTCTCCAGCACCATGTCTTTGTCCTCTGCTGCTGTTGTCAGGAATTCCCTGGCATTTTCCCATTCTTCCTCGGAGTCCCCCTCTCCCTCCCAGCTTTCTCCTATTTCTAGTCCACCCAAGGCCACAGCTGTGCTTGCAGATGTATGGGCAGTGTCTTCTCTGCTCCAGGGCCCGGGTGTTCTGCATGCAGATAACATTCCCCTTCCAGCACCATGTCTTTGCCCTCTGCTGCTGTTGTCAGGAATTCCCTGGCATTTTCCCATTCTTCCTCGGAGTCCCCCTCTCCCTCCCAGCTTTCTCCTATTTCTAGTCCACCCAAGGCCACAGCTGTGCTTGCAGATGTATGGGCAGTGTCTTCTCTGCTCCAGGGCCCGGGTGTTCTGCATGCAGATAACATTCCCCCCCCCCTGCAAAGGGGGCCTGGCCACTCTGGCACTTAGCTGGCTCACAGGAGTATTCACAATTCTTCACACGCACGTGGTGCACACACAGACACGCACAGAGTTCCAGAAAACAGAACTAGTTTCCCTTCCTTGAACTGGAGATGTTGAAATAACCCATGTTATGAGAAACGGAAACTGAGAAACAATCACAAGAAGGGAAGGTTCTGAGAAAACAGTTTCCCAGACATACAGATTAAGGACAATCAAATGTCACTTTGATGCTAGGAAGAAAGGGAAGGGCTCCTGTCCCTGTAAAGGAGCCCCACCCAACAGTGAGGAAATAATGAGAGATGTAACTCTTCACCGGCTTGGGAGGTATCCATGATCTCTTTTAGCTTGGGTAAAGAAGGTTCATTAGAGACAGAAGGAAAATTAAAAGATAAGGTAAGTGGACTGCTTTGTTTTGTTGTGATAGAAAACCATGGCTTAGATTGGTAGAGCTTGTTGACTCAGCAAGATCCCATTGATTCAGTGAGCTTACTCTGATTGGGACTAACTGTTGGATTTAGGGCCATGTTTTGAGGAGATGAAAGAGCACCTAAGTGCTTCCCTGAAAAAGTAATTTCTCTACTCACAGCACTAAAAACTTTTAGGCTAAGGGAAATCTTGTTTTCAGCACTAATCCTCTGGTTAACATTATACAGTAAAACCAGAGAGGTAATCCTGCCTCCTGTGAAATAAGGACTGCATGTTATCTTCTAGTTGTTCCTTTTGTGATGTATGTACATCACACGAATGGTGCTGGATCAGTCTAAATTTTGTTCATACAGTCACTTGCCTGTGAGAAACCCACACAGAGATGTACTTACAACTTGTGTCTCTTGTTTGCCAGTGACAAATATACTGTACAGGCATATGCTTCTGACACTCGGAATGACATTTACTTACTTACTTACTTACAGTGGTGCCTTGCTTAACGATGATAATCTGTTCCAGGAAAATCGCTGTTAAGCGAAAACATCGTAATGCAAAAAAACCCAATTGAAACGCATTGGAACCCCTTCAATGTGTTCCAATGGGGTCAAAACTCACCGTCCAGCGAAGATCCTCCATGGGGCAGCCATTTTCGCTGCCTGTCTTGCGAGGAATCCATCCCAGAAAACAGCGGGGAGCCATTTTGTTTACCCGGTGGCCATTTTGAAACCGCCGATCAGCTGTTTAAAAAACGTCGTTTTGCGAAGAATTGGTTCACGAAGCAGGGAACTGATCATCGCAAAGCGAAAAACCCCCATTGAGACCATCGTTTTGCAATCGCAATTGCAAAAAGATCATCGTAATGCAGTTTCGTCGTAATGCGGGCAATCGTAAAGCAAGACACGACTGTACTTACTTGTATCCCACGTATCTCATTAAAAAGGACCCAAAGCAGCTTAGAACAATTAAAATACAGTATTTAAGTTAACAACAGTGAGTAAGCAATTTCATTTATTTATTATTTCGCTTCTATACTGCCCATCAGGCTACCAGGCCACTCTCGGTGGTTTACATATTAACCATGCAGAGTTCAAAACATTGAACATACTAGTATAAAATCAAAATAAGGATAAACCAACATTTTAAATACTGTAATATTAATTAAAATAATGTAAAATAATATAAAGCAGGACTGATAATATGAATATTAGGACCCATCAATTTATTAAAGCGTTATAAGGTCCAGGAAGGCCTGTAAAAAAACCATGTTTTTAATAGTCACTTTATCATTCACAGTGAAGGGGGCAGGCAGAATTCAGGCAGGAGGTCATTCCAAAGCTGAAGAGCAACCGCCAAGAAGGCCTGGTTTCTGGTTCTCTCTTTCTGAGCCTCTCTTGGGGTCAATTCTCTGAACTGCCCAGCATGGGAAGATGGTATAGGGCGGGCAGATCTCATTGCGAGGAGACACTCTGTCAGGTATCAAAGTCCCACACTGTTTAGAGCTTTACAAGTTAATACCATCACCTTGAAGGTGGCTCAGAAATGGACAAGTAACCAGTCCAGAGCAGCCAGAGTAGGGGAAATGTGTTGACATTTCTTTACACCACTAAATAATCTGGCCACTATTCTCTGGACCTGCTGAAGTTTCCATAGCAGCCTCATGGGCAGCCCCACATAGACAGCATTGCAGTAGTCTAATCTCAAGACTACTAATACTGTATCTACTAGTGCATGAACCAGCGTGGTGAGGGACCTGGTGTCAAGGTAGGGATGCAGCTGGGCGATCTGCCTTAGATGGAACTAGGCGGAGCAGACTACAGACGCTATCTGAGGCTCCATTGACAGCGCTGGGTCCAAAAGTACACCCAAGCTGCGAACCTCATCCTTAGAGGAGAGAGTAGCCCTCCCAAAGGAGAGGGAGGTACCCAATTCATAAACACTAGGGGCGCCCACCAGCAGGATCTCCATCTTGCCTGGGTTCAGCCTCAATCTATTATCTCTCATTGACCCCCAGCACAGCATCCAGGCAGCACTCAAGGGGCGGAACAGCATCCTCTGCAGAAGGGTGAAAGATGAAAGGATAGAGCTGGGTGAGCTCCAAAACTCCTGATGAACTCCCCAGGGGCCTCATATAGTTTTTAAACAGCATTGGGAGATGATCAGCCCCTGAGTCCAAAGAGTGGACATCATCTTGCCAAACTGTACTCTCTGAGGACAGCCCTCCAGGAAGGAAGAGAACCAGGCCAAGGCCAGGGCACCGATCCTCAACCCAGAGAGCCATCCCAGAAGGATCCTCCAGGAAGGAACAGAACCAGGCCAAGGCCAGGTCACCGACCCTCAACCCAGAGAGCCATCCCAGAAGGATACCATGGCCGAGGGTATGGAAGTCTGCTCATAGGTTGAAGAGAACCAACAAGGACATTTCCCCCCATCAGTTTCCCTCAAAAGGTCATCTTGCAGGGTGACCAGTGCTGTCTCCGTGCTATGGCACGGCCTGAAGCCGGACTGAAATGGATCAAGGGCATCAGTCTCGTCCAGGAGTGCCTGAGGTTGATCGGCCACTGCTCTCTCCACTAGCTTGCTGAGAAAGGGAACATTGGCGACGGGTTGATAGTTGTTAATATTGTCCACTGACAAGTTAGGCTTTTCATGAATGGGCCTAATAAGTGTGTCCTTGAGGTCACAGGGAACCTTGCCCTCAAGGAGAGACCCAATAATAATGGCTGTGGCCCATTCCATTGTTACAGGCCTTGCTGCTCTTATGAACCAGGCCAGGCAAGGATCTAGGGAGCTTGTGGTGGCCCTACAGGGGTCAAGCATCCTCTCGAACTCTGCCAACATCACAGGCTAAAAACATGTTAAACTCATTGGGTAAGGTGGTGCAGTGGATGTCTCAGCTCGATTTACTGGAGAAGAAGGATAGTCAAGGTCCCAGCAGATGGTCTCCACTTTACGCTTAAAAAACATATTAGTCACAGCAGATAATACTGGGAGGCCTGTCACTATGACCAACCCTGGATAAATCGCATACTGTACGAAAGAGTTCGGCCTGGTGGTTTTGAGCTTCACTTACCCGGATAGCGAAGTCTGTTCTCCTATTAGCCTTCACTTTAGCTCTGTGGTCCCCAACCTTTTTGACACCAGGGACCAGTACTTGTTATGCAGTAGGTTGTTGGAGAATTGCTTTGAATCATGCTTATAAAGGAAATGGCGAGCAGGAGCAGGAGGTGAGCTGCAATTGCAGCTCCCGCCTTCTGTCAGATCAGCCGTGGCTTAGAACCTAATAGGAGCAGACTGACAGGAGGCAGAGCTTCGCTCGCTGCTCGCCTCCTGCTCGCCACTCATCTGTCCTGGCGGCCAAGCTAACTGGATGCTTGACACGATTTTTGCAGCTTTTAGATTAGATTCTGCTGGGGCCTGTCTCCAGATGCTCTCCAGCCTCCTCCCATTCTGCTTCATTGCCCGCAGTTGTTGGTTATACCAGGGGGCTGGGCAGGCTCGGCAGTGGAGGTGGCGATTGGGTGCGATTGTGTCGACAGCCTTGGTAGTGGTGGCGTACCATCCCTCCACCAGAGCCTCGACAATACGCAAAGGATCAAACAACTACAAATAAAAAACATAAGCAACACCACAACACATTCAATGCAGTAAGGTACAGCAATCCATTAAAAAGCCCCACTGAGGTAGCTAGTCACTCAGAGAGAGCTTGCCTGAAGAGAGGCGTCTTTGCCAGCTTGTAGAGGGACAGCAAAAATGGGGCCTACGAGGGGATGCTGATAAGTACTGAGCCGTTTCCAGAAAAAAAAAAGAGCTAGGAACCTGTAACTGCCACACTATTCTACATATTCCCCCAGGAAGTCAGTGCACTTGTGACATCTGTCCTGCAGCTTCCTAAGTCCCTGCAAATAAAATTCTTCTGACTGCTGGTATAACCACTCATTTGCAGCATTAGTTGCCTCCAGAACACTCCCAAATCGTTGTCCCTTTAGGTGTTTTTTGAGTTTGGGGAATGATAGTCAGAAGGAGCCAGGTCGGGAGAATAGGGTGGATGGGGCATCACTTGAAAACCTAAGGACTTCAGTTTTACCATTGTTTCACCTGCAGTGTGTGATGAGGCGTTGTCGTGCAACAGGATGACACCTTTGGAGAGCTTTCCTTGATGTTTTTCCTTGATGTTTTGCCTCATCTTTGTCAATAAAGCACATGATATTTTGCATTGATGGTTGAACCCTGTTGGAGGTAGTCCACCAGCAGAACTCCCTTCTTATCCCAAAAAACTGTTGCCATTTGTTTCTGCACCGACTTTTGCACTCGGAACTTGTTTAGCCTGGGGGAACCACTGTGCCTCCATTCCTTAGCCTCTTCCTTTGTTTCAGGATCATCCAGTAGATACATGTCTCATCACCAGTTACCAGTTTACCCAGAAAATCTGACTCATTTCTTGCAAAATGTTCCAAAACAGCCACCAGTGACTCCATACGTTTCCTCTTTTGTTCGGTTGTCAAAAGTTTGGGGATCCACATTGCTGCCAGCTTTCTCATTTTCAAGTCATTGTGGATAATGGCACCAACTCTCTCATACGATATTCTCAGATATACAGCAATACTTTTGGCTGATATTTGGTGGTTCTCCATGATCATGTCATGGATGGTTTTCACATTTGCAGGCACAGAGACAGAAATAGGCCTTCCACTTGGATTTCTCACTTTCAACACAGAAATGGCCAGTTTTAAAATTGACAACCCAACATTTAACTGTTGTATATGAAGAGCCGCTGTCATCCATAGTTTGTGACATTTCATCATGGATCTGCTTTGCACCTTTCCCTTGGAGAAACAGGAACTTGATTATGGTCCTATTCTCTTCCACACTGAACTTTTCTGGAGGTGCTGCCATGTTCACTTTGGATCTGAACATGAAAGATAAGTTAAAGTCATAGGTACTGTAGTTTATTTTTGCACCATAGACAA